TTACTACACTTTGAACTTGAGAACAACCTTTCTAAAACTAGACCTCTACATAAAAGTTAGAGGTCTGTGTCTTACCTTTCCATCCATATAAAATAGACCTAAATCTGAGATATAATGAAAGAAAGAAAAATAAATAAACAAAATAAGAACATAAATAAGATAAAAGTTAACTAAGTAAATGAAAGGAAATAAAAGGCATAAGTAAGATATTAATGAAAGCAAAAAATAAGCATTACAAAAATACAAAAAGAGAGAGAAAAAGCATGATCTTGATCTAGAAATAAAGATGCCTAAATGTATGGCAAATGCCTCCTTTTATAGGCCAAAATTGAAAACTATTGATTTGATTATTAATTGATGAGTAGGTGGCTAACTCTTAACTTGGTGACAATCCTTATCTTTTATTGTTTGAATAAAACGTCATTGATAACGTCAGAATTTAAATCAACTTTACCATAAAAGTTCTAGGAAATTGTCTCAACTTTCTAGGAAAAAAATATTGAGGTCATTTGGACTTCTAGAACTCATGATATGGGCTGAACACTGAACAATGTTTAGACTGCAAGACAGGTTCAGACTTATTCGTTGTTACTACACTTTGAACTTGAGAACAACCTTTCTAAAACTAGACCTCTACATAAAAGTTAGAGGTCTGTGTCTTACCTTTTCATCCATATAAAATAGAGCTAAATCCGAGATCTACAGCTCCAGATATGACCTAATTACCGAATAGTGTTCCAGTTTGGACTGTACCAGCATCTCTTTTCTAAGTTTAACCATCTCTTTGTCTTTTCAATTTCAGTACTTAAACTCATCAATCAATCCTTTTATTTATGTGATAGGCCTGCATTTAAGATGAACATTTACCACAAATTAAAGGTATCTTATATTATTATAAAACACTCTTTAGTTAAGAAGTTATTGATACTTCAAGTGTAAAATAATGATATAAAACTTTGATAGAAATGCACTTTTAAGTACTAATCACCTTCAATGCCAAATTAGAGACTTTTTTGTGCACACGTCACTTGTTCATAGAGGAAACATTGAGATGAACTGAACGCCACCCCAAAATAGCAATTTTAGCCACTAGAATTAGCTGCATGCATCGTTCAAAGATGATAGAGCAGTTGACACGTGCGCAACGTATTTTTTTAAATACTTTTTAGTTATTAAAATACTAAATTACGTCACCTCAATTCATTGAACTTTTTAGTTATTAAAATACTAAATTACCTCACCTCAATTCATTGAAAAAAAAAAAGCTACACAATGAAGAAAATACCCTCTAACCAAAAGGTTAAAAAATTTAACTTTAAGGGCATTTACGTTTTTTTTTTAACTATGCATTTTAAATAAAAAATACAAAAAGGTCCCTCATTGGTAGTTAATTTTTTTTATTCAAGGTGTAAATAGGTTATTTTACTTTTTATATTTTATATGAAAATACAAAATTAACTCTCAATATGAGCTAATAATTTATTTCTTTTAATGGTATTGATGTAATTTTACTACACCACTAGAACATAAAATACTCATCACATCCCTAATCAATTTAAAAATACCAAAATAGCCCAATTGCATAGATGATTTTACCCTTACTATTAGCCTATTAATTTCTTTAGAAGGGCAAGAAGGTGAAAATACTATTGTCATTCATGGTGCAATGTGTTTAGTGAACAATGTTTTCACCTTCTCTTTTAGTTTCTTTTTAAATCAACATTGTGCAATTTCATGTCCAAAATAATATCTTATTTATTAATGTTTCATTTATTTTATTATATTAAATATTTCTTTCTTTGTTTATTCATATCAAACTCTTAATTTTGATTTCTAGTTGTCTTTGGTCAAGCAAATGAAAGATAAAGAATGTTTTCTCTTTTCATGTTCACCTCTTCCTTCTCCTCCTTCTTCTATTTTTCTTTATATGATAGGAAATTAATATATATATATATATATATATATATATATATATATATATATTTGGTCTAATAGTATACAAATCTTGGTTCTCCCGCTTTGTTATAGGGTCAGACTTTTTTGTTATATAAAAAATAATGTTTAGATATTGAAATGAGATTTAAAAATGATATAAAACTAGTTAAGTGTTGTGCCGTGAATGATTCAAAAATCGGCAACAATGAATCTGACGAAAATGGATGAAGGATGGGTCTGGTTGTATTGTCTTTCTTTTGGTGTTAGGCTAGATTATAGTATTTTTAAGGTAAATAAAAATGGAGGATAAACTAGAGTGATACTTTGATAAGTCGATCTGGACGCCACAAAGATCAATCTAGGATTTTGACGCCACACTCTTTGTGATTGAAGAGTGATAAGTCAGGTAGGGTTCTTCACAAATCAATTTGGAAGAATAACTCTTAATTCTCGGAATTAAGTTCAAATATTGGCCAAAAGTTGTTTATTACATATTCTGATGCCATATTTATAATGGAACATCCCTCCACACTTAGGAAAATTCAACATGACAGAAATCAAGCCCAAAACTTGGACTTTGACAAAGTAACCAGACAAATTACACTAGCACACATTTTCTGACTTTAATTGAAACATAAACAGACCGAATTTAAAATGGCTATAACTTCTTGCACAAAAGTCCAATGCAATCATGGTTGGACAATCTGGAAAGATCACGTTCTGAACTTGAAATCCACCTAGATTAGTCTTGTTTTCACATGCAATGGATGACTTCAAATTCGGGTTCAAATTTATCTACTGTTCTGACGTAAACAGCATCAATTTCTTAACTTATTTGCATTATCAACCCAAATTCAAGTAGTCCAGCATCAAAAGAACCATTAAGGGCTCTTCCCATCTTTAAGCTCCAATTGTAGGCAAATAAGCACCCTTGAACCAATTTGAAACTGATTGCCAAATTTTAACTCCGACGCAGCTTCAATCATTCCAATCTGACTCGTCAAGGTCCTTTGTAGTTGTTTCGCTCTCGCTCTTGTCATTGGACCATCTGAATCCTCTTGCATATTTGATTTACCTTTACGAGATGGATTATCATTCCCATGATGCACATCATTAAGAAAAATTTATAACAACGCTGATTAGAGTTAAGTTAACACGGAATAACAAATGTTTAATATTATTATCACTATAATTATCGTTGTCGTCATTATTATTATTATAGTTTTATTTTAATTACTATTTTTATTTCTATTATCATCATCATCATAACTAACATTACTATTAATGTTATTATTAATATCATCATCATCATCATCATTAATATTAATATTACTATAATAATAATAATAATAATAATAATAATAATAATAATTATTATTATTATTATTAAATGAGTGGTGATGATGATGATCATGATAGCAATGTAGTAATTATTATTGTTATTGTTGTTGTTATTGTCAATAATACTATTATTTTTATTTTCACTACCACTATTATTGTTATTTTTATTATCACAATTATTGTTGTTGTTGTTGAAAAAATAAAAATCATGAACTTAATTTGAACAACATAATTGAAAACTATAAAAATTTTGATAAAAAAACCAGGGAAAATACTAAGAAATCAAAAGAAGATGGATCATACTAAAATCACTATTATTATCATTGAAAAAATCAAATTCATAAACTTAATTTGAAGAATAAAATTGAAAGCCATAAATTTTTTATCAAAAGAGCAAAGGGGCAAAAATACAAAATTAAAAGTAGAAGGATTGGATAAAAAATCATTATATATACAAATTAGAAACCAAGGGTTAAATTGAAATCACATAAAATTTTAACAAAATGAAAAATAATAAAAATATACAAATCAAAACTAAAAACACCGAATGTGAAATATTAATAACACTAAAGACCATAATCTATTTATTAGGGTAGGTGAGAGAAATGAAGGGAAAAAAAGATCATTAGTGATAAACCAATAATATTTGGACCACATGTACTGCTTAGGGTAGAATAAAAAACGATATGAAATCAGATTATACAGGGGAATTCTATTTTTGACCATTGAAAAACACCACACACACCACCCAAAGATATGACATCTCCTTTTGGTCGGAGTGCGCACAATACTCGTCGATATTTTTTTAACTAAAAATATTTTTTTAATAGTAAATTGTTACACTACCTTCATGCAAACCAACGATTAATTAAAAAACTAGAAAAACTAGAGTCAAAAGTCTCTAATACCCCTTATCTCAATGCATTAAATTTCTTATATACAAGGGTATTTTTGTAATTCAATTCTATATAAAAAACTAAAAATTCCAATATACCCCTACCCCATGCAATTGCTTTTTTACTTTAAAACATATTTTTGTTATTTTACTGTTTATAAAAATATTGCACAATAAAAAATACCCTTACACAAATTAATAATAATGAATCATCCATGTAAAAATACAAAAACATCCCTCAATCAAAGGCATGCAATATATTTATTTTTTGCTGAGGCTATGGATGTCATTCCACTATTGTAGTGAATAGCAAATCAAGTCCATAACCGCAGTGAATTCTCCATTCATTTTTGTAAATTTGTTATTTTGATAAATTTACAACTAATATCATCTATATTATTTATGAATAATGATATATTGAACTGACCAAATCCTATCTGTAATCATGTTCTTGTGGATATTACTCGGTAAGAAATATACAGAAAACAAGTAATTAACAAAAATCTCACATATTTCATCAACTGTAAATACAATAAGTAGCTTATTCTTTAGCTCACAATGAATCTCCACCAAACATGTCGATGCTCCAGTTTGCAAGTTGGCTATACTTCTTTATTTTCAAGAAAAAGAGTTACAATGGAGGATTAATTTTCTTTTCTTTTTTAATGCTCCAGTTTGCAAGTTGGCTATACTTATTTATCAATGGAGGATTAATTTTCTTTTCTTTTTAAATTTTCAATGATTATTGAAATTGGAAATCAATTAGTTTCTATAACTTGCAAGATATTAAAATCACAAGGATGTAAGTTTTAAATACAAAAACAATCTGTCAATTGATAGTAATTCAAAAATTGTCTAAGCATCATGTTTGTTCATCACAAGGCTATGCAACAGCCAAAAGAGGCTACAAAACATGGCAACAGGCCATCTTATAAACAAGAAATTGGAATAGCCTTTTAACACATCGCCTCAAACAAACTTTGGCAACAAGGGCTTATGTAGAGATTGCTGGGATAATAATCATCTTTCAGCTGTCACGTCCATCTTCCTTGTTTGAGAATTAAACATTTCAGCTATATCTGCTGCTGTGCTACATTCCTCTGGATTTCTATCCGATATGGAGTGAATAAATCTTGGAAATCTGATTGAGATGCCACGAGATTGATGAACTAAACCAACAGCAGCCTGGTGAACGGGTGAAATTGTAAAGTCAGCACCTCTTATTTCCCAAACAACTTCTGGAGAGAACCACATATCCGGCGCCTCCAGAGTTCGATAGTATGGTGGCTTTTTGGCCAAGATCCTATCTCCAGAGAAGAATTCTTTCATCTGCAACTCGGTTATTACCTTGGAGGATTAGAATGATAGACTCCAGAAAGTAAGGCAAATCAGTCTCGAAAACCAGCAATCCAAGATCAGGACTCCTAATCGATAAGCAAGTAATGCTTTCTTATTTTTTTCACATATTTTACATGTGCATGAATTGCATTCTTTACTTATTGACTTTTTTTTTTTGTGAGAAATAAGAATTGCACTCTAAAGGTTCACCTGTTGAGTAACTGATCCAAAAATCTACATTACAGGTAGTAAGTATCAGAGAATCTCCTAACAGCACAACTAGCTGAATTGACTATCTATGTAAATAGCAGTGCTCTCCTTGTAGAAACCTAGATGGCTAACTAAAATATGCACAGCGCCACCAACCTTCTCTAGTTCTTCATGTAATTCTCAGGAAGTTCATAATAAAATACTTGGGAAGAAAGTATGTTTACGTCAATTTGCCCAAGATTTGTTTAAGATCAGAAGGTACTTCCCCTTAATGTTAAAAATTAAGAGTCTTCTAATGACAATTCTGTTTAAATCCACCATACCCTTGATAGCATGCCCATATGCATAGACTTGTCTGCATGAGAATCATTAAATCCATTTACCTCTATATAAAAAGCATCTGAGAACCCAGACATGACACGGCACACACTTTGGAATTCCTCAGTCTCAGGGTTGTAACATGCCATGAGGAATGGACTATACCTGCAACATAATAAAAGTCAGATAATCAAGGGTAGCAACATCACTTTAACATGCCATGGATACACCCACAAAATACTTGGAAAGTGCATGGAATAGAAAATAACATAACAGCACATTCAAACTTTTCTTTCCTTTTTCTTCTTTCAGTTTCTTTTTCCTGAAACTACATTCTTTGAACTTGAGTACTGTAGTACAGACCCCGATCTCCAACTTGTTCAAAATAATTTCATTGCGGTTTATCAATAACAGCAAAATAAATTTAATTCTTGTGTATTTATATCATAGCAAACATAAAGTAGAAGAAAATATCACACAAGAATCTTCCAGGAAACCCTGTTATGAAACGGGAGGAAAAAGAAAAGGTTACTACCATCCTGCTTTTCTCCCATTTCCATGCCAAGCACCAATCGGGACTAAATCAAGAGAATCATTGAGTCCTTCAACATAATCCTTCTTGACCTGCAAAAGAAACATCAGTTCAACCAGTAACTAATCATCCTTATATTTTTATGTAGTAAGATAACAAAAAAAAAAAAAAAACACAATAAAACATCAAACCTTTAACCATGCATCAGTCCGTTTTGATGGACAGTATCCAGCATCCATATCTAGAGATTTCACCATAATCCCTTCACACGAGGACTGCAAAGCATCTTCAAGGAAAGATTTCATCTTGGTCAAAGTTGAATCATTGGTCAAACAAGCATCCTGTGCTTCAACCTACAAAGCATAGAGCCACTTAAAATACTGAAAAGAACTGATTATGTGAACTGGTAAATTACAGCCGTTACCGTCATCTCCTTCGCATATTCAAAACAACCTAATCTCTCATCACAAAACAAGTCTTTCAAGTCTGTGTTATTACAGAAGAGGGTTAGAGTTGAAACACGCAACACTTAAAGGGAAAAGAAGTTATTATCCAGTTAAATAAAAGAAAAGAATACATCTTCAAAGAACCAGGAAAAATGCATACATCGTCGCCTTTGGCGGAGAGGAAGCTCCAACAGCCTGCAACAGAAGATTAACCAGTTTAAATAGCAATCAACTTCTGGAAAGAGTGAAATTTAGCCCACCTAATCCGTGTGGCTTGATTGATTCTTAACAGTTGGGAACCACACTCAATGAAAGCACTTTCATAACTGATTCGGTATCTTAAAAACTGGAATAGAAAGCTCCAAACCTTGTAGTCAGATCAGGAGTGATAATGATCTAATTATTTAATTTTGAGATATCAACAAAATTTCATCTTCTGATGGAATCTAGACTCTTCTTAGATTAATGATTTTGAGAACAAATATTACATGTAAAAGTCCATATCTACTAGTTTATCTGATTGCCTTTGATAATTATCCTCTCCCTATAGCACAGACAATGGAATCTCAACTCAATGAAGCCTTAATCTCAAGTTAATTAGAGCTAGCGACATGACACAACTACCATAGTAAACTGCTAGATTTGTGGCACATGCTTTACCGCGGGTTGGTTTTTTTTTTTTGTAAGAAAAAAATTCTAAGAAAAAAAATCCGAGACACAAGTTACCATATCAATTGATAATTTAAATAATATAAATTAAAAAATATATTACAAAAATAAGGTAAATAAACCTATATGATCCCATCCAGAGTTCGAAAAACTCAATGTTTAAAGATGAAATTGAAACTTTTTAAAAAAAAACAAGAAAAAAAACTCAATTAAACTAAGTTAACTAACAAACTCCATTTCAATGGATATAGGATTAAGATAACCTAATAGAAATAAAAACATAAGAAAAGGACTGCTTGAAAGGAAAGATAAAAAAAAATAAGATCAATTTTCAATACATAAATATTAAAAGATAAAATTAAAATAAATAAATTTAAAAAAAAACAAAATCAACCTGGATTAACCTTTAAAACAGTGACTTTGGTCATAAATCTAAGACCAACCATATGCAAAACTCCATATAGACAGTAAAAGAATGGTAAGAAAACATTAGCTTAAAAAAAGAAACAACTAAGCAATCATCTTAAACTTGGTCAATATTTAAAACTCGCAACCCATGATTTCATGGATCCAAGTTGAATCAAGAATTTAATTCCTAACCAATTTAATTTTAAAGAATGAAATCGTTAAAAAAATCAATTTTAAAACTTGCAAAAAAATAAAAGCAACAAAAAGCATGGGTATTAAATTCAATAGTAAAAAAACCCATGGATGATAAAATTGTAAAAAACAAATCTAAGAAATGATCCCAAAAAAAAAATAGCAATAAAAAAAATAGAAACTTCATTCAAAAGATAAAACATTTATAATTTTATGATGCAAAAGTGTTTTTAATTTTTTTTTTAAACGTTACTTAAGGCATAAACATGACTGAGAAAAAAACATTGATATATGGACAAACCTAAAAAGAAAGAAAACAACAAAAAATGCACGGTTAAAAAATCATATGGAAGGCAGATAAACAAAAAAATAAAAAAATATAATCACTAATGATATAAATATTAAATGATAAAACTGAAAAAAAAAATCATAACCTTTAAAAAACAAAGAAGAAAACCCATAAAAACTCGAGCGAACTTTCTAAACACACAAAAATCTCAAACTTACAACCTATTAAATCTTAGACCCGGCCTAAATCAAAAAACTCAATTCTTAATCAATTTACTATTGATTAGCCAAAATAAATCCAATAAAAAGCAACAATTAAAAAAACACCAAGAAAACCCGGGTCATTTTTAAAATCATTGAAAAATCCTAGAAAAATAGAAAAAGAATTCTAACCTTATAAATTGTTGTAAAAATATTATTCCAAATATTAAAGGAATGGATTTGGAAAAAAATTAAAGAATTAAAAAAAAAAAAAAGAGAATAGAAAACAAAAACTTGTCATTTTCAAGACCAACAACAAATTCAATAGAAAGCAAGTTAACTAAAATAACCTGATTTTCAATTGAAATTTGTAAAGGTAATTCAATTGAAAAAACATTGAACGATGAAATAGTAAAAAATATTAGCTTAGACAAAGGGAAAAACAAAAAATAAGAAGCCAAGTAAAACATCACAAACCTGGTCAAATCTCAAATCTTAAAAACTTGTAATACGTGAAACCCTAGATCCAAGTCCAAGACAAAGGGAAAAACAAAAAATAAGAAGCAGTAAAACATCACAAATCTTAAAAACTTGTAATACATGAAACCCTAGATCCAAGTGCGAGAAAAAAATTTATTATGGAACAATTTTAAAAAGTTTCCAAAGAAAAATAATTGACAATCAAATGAATAGGGATTAAATTTGACAGGGAAAAAATACAAGGAGGGTGAAATTGTAAAATAAAATCACTTTAACAATGATTTCAAATAAAAAATTGTAAAAGAAAAAAAAATCAAAATAATAGGGATTAAATTTAATTAGAAAAAAAAACAAAAAAGGTTGAAATCATAAAATAAAATCATTTTATAAAATGATTCAAAAAAAATAATAAAGATCAAATTTGAAAGAAAAAAATTTAAAAGGTATGAAATTAAAAAGGCATACCAATTTTATAAATTATTCAAGATAAAAAAAATCATAATAAAAAATGGAACAAATCTAAAAAATCAACAAATTTAAAAGTTGTTCTTGAATATTTCAGGGGTTGACACGAGAATCTAGGCTGGAAGAGAAGGATGGGGGAGGGGGAATAAATGGCCATCAACGCCAAACCTGCGGGGTCATCCACAACACGCGCAAACAATTTTTTTTAATTATATTTAATAAATGTAATTTACAACAATGCTCATGAATACCTGTGGAATTTACAATAAAAACAATGTCAAATGATAAAAACCCTTAAATGAGAGTTTTGTTAGTTTTGTCTTTAAAAACATCAAAATAATTACACTATTCTAAAAAAATTTAAAATACAAAAAAGTCCTTAGGTAGTAAGCATTAGATTATTTTATTCCAGGGTTTAATTCATAATTTTACTGTAAAAAAACAAAATAATCAATCTAACATCATAGAATTTGCAAAAGACAATTGTGTCATGGTGAAAAAACCATCTTGCCCCCATGTTTAGTTCAAAGTGTTAATAAACAAGGGGAAATTTAGTAATTACATTATTATAATGAATAGTTTTTTGTGCTCGGGTTATAGTAACATCCCTTTAGTCCTTTATTTTTTTTAATTTAAGTAACCAAACAGATTAGCACAGCTGCATAACCACAAATAATCTCAAATCCAATTCACACAAAATTTTACCTGGTAGCTTCGTAATTAACACATGTAAAGAAATTCCAAGAGAAGGTTCAAGAAATTACTGTTCTCCATTAGCAAACATGATATCAAAGACAAACACGCATATATCAACCTGCGTGTAGTGGAAACATAAGAGAGAATACAAAACCAGATTAGTTGCCATCACTGAAAATGAAATTAGACCATATCACAACAGCAAGACAAAGGAAAATGATGTTACACAAAGTCAGATATTAGGCAATTAAACCCAACACTTAGCTATGCACCCATTCTCTTCTTGCTTTCTCAGCCCGCCAGGCACACTAATTATTCATTCACCAGCATCAGGCTTAAACAAACATTTTCCATCACTTTAAGAAGACATTAAGCTTATTCCCACACCCAGAAACACTCTAAACACCTAGTGGCTAGCACAACGCATACTAGTTACCAATTTATAACTGGTCTCAAGGATTACATCATCACGCATATAATGCAGTGGATACATTATAATTGACAATAGATCAAACCTTTATCTTATTCACAGCAATGGAAGAATCTTTGCTCCCTCTCTCCCTTGAAGATAGCTCTTGAAAGGACATGAGCTTGCAGCCATTCTTTCTATCAACTGCAACTACCTGATCCAAAAGATACTGCTAGTTTTATACACAACTGGATCTTGTCCAGTTCAGGAACAATAATTTACTAATGTAATGTAAGCTGCAGCATAACAATTAAATAAAATCCACAAAAAGAACTAAAAAACTTTCCACTGTAAAATATATAACCTCTGCATCCACTATAAAAGTCACTGCAGCAGGTTTACAAGATTCCTCAATTATCTTGATCAAATCAGGAAACCTAGAAGTTGTTTCATCCCCATTTCGTGAATAGATACGTACAGTGCCATTTGGCATTTTGTGAATTTGGGCACGCTGACCATCGTATCTGAAATTATACATACAGAAACAAGTTCTATGAGGAATCCTCCATTAATCTAAGAAAAAAAAACCCAAATAGGATATCAAATAATGTGCGTAACATGTTTTCCCAACTCAATCAATGAAAGACAGCAATTAAACTGTGATTCTTAGAAGAAGAGCTCCACAATGCTGAGTGCATAAAAATGTCTGGTAAAAAGCTTATCTTGATGGCAACAACTAAAAAACATACTAAAAAGACAGGAGATTCAAGTAAAAAAGGTACAGTTTCTAATGGTGACTTCTCATAAATCAAAGAGCTGCAGGAACAAATATGACCACAATTTTCAAGTTCAAGCTGCAATTTAAAACCATATTGCTAGGAACAATGACATTTGTAGTTATTATGGCATTGAATGATGTTCTGGAGATTGATCAGCTACATGTATCATCTTTGCTTACATCAAGGCTCTTTCATTTCTATGAAGGCTTTACAAATGCTACTGTTCTCCTAAAGTAATACCCGGAATCTCCACTGTCGTAAGCATAAAGTGCTAGTACGCACTTTGATGTGACTACTAGGTTTTCTTCACAAACACAGTACCTACCATCATCAAAAGGGAAAAGCACGTAGAAAGAAATGGAAAAAATCTTAAAAAAAGAGTGTCATGAAAAGAGGAGCACGCACTTGTATTCACATGTAAAAGCTTTATTTTCAAAGAGCTTCAGTACTTGAGCAACTCCATTTGTAATTCTATCATCCAAAAGCACACAATGAGTCAAGGAATTAGTACCGTATATTTAATGAGGAGTATGAACAAATAATAAGCTTTAAGCGATTTAAATAAATCTGTACTTTGCAAGCATTGGTTTAAGAGGTATCCCAGCAACCATTGATAAAGTTGACGATGAAAATCCAACGCCTTCATTTATGAGTGAAGGAACAACCAAATCCTGTTAGAACATCTGGCATGATATATCAGAAGAACACGTTCAAAACATCAAAAGAATAAGGAAAATGACTGAGTCAAATTCAAGCAACTTACCAGAGTAGGAAGGATGTTATAAGCTTCAACCACTGCTGTGGAAATGTACTAAAAGTAACAGAAATATTGGATTAACAATTTAAATACAGAACACCAACATCAATGAGTATAGAAAAGTAAGTCGAACTTTTCATAGAAAGTGGACTAAAGTTCATTTAGCATCAAGGTACATGAGTGGTCAGAAATCACTCAACCTACCATTTACTGCATAAAAATAGTACGTTACTTTAATATAATACAGCTAAATCAAGTAAAGCAAATGGGGAAAAAAGAAAAAAAAGAAAAGAAAAATGTTGTTATCAAGCATCAGGGTATATAAAAATTAGAAACCAAACCTGAAGTCTCTCCTTCACATTCTCAGCTTTACATTCATCAGAAGAAAAGGAATTCAAAGCAACAGCTTGAGCTAAAGCAGGTAGGATAGTTCTCATCATTGCTCCAATCCGTAAATTCCTTACCTGTTCATATAGCAAGAAAAATAAAAAAACTACACCACAGCAGATTTTTAAAAATTATTTCAATGTTTGGCTTTCATATCTCTATGAATTTAGAATAAAAGACAAATGGGCTATATATGTATTAAGGTGCCTGATCACAAGCAGCTAAACAACAAAGCTGCAAATTTTTTCTTATCATTCTCTTTTTATTTAAGTTGATGAATTGCTGATAGTTTTCAACAGACTTCCATCTTTTCTTTACATAAATGGAAACTTTTTTCTGCATGTCAGCTATTAATAACCCATATCCCAGGTAGAGTAAGACTCCCAAGGGGGGGGGGGGGTGGGGATGGG